ATCTTCTGTGACTTCAATGTCTGCTAAGCGACACTAGAACCTGTCCTCGGGGCGGTACGTGTTCCTGGTAACTGGTTGTTCAATGATACTCTGATGCAACCTGCATCCTTTACCCACTGCGGATGGCAATGCTACAGACTTGAGATGGAGCGCATATTCAAACGGGTCTTTTCGATCCTTCCCGGGTCCCTAGTTCAGTAAACTTGTCGAAAGGGTGGTCTCGCCAACGCTTTGCTGGATTTCAGCTGTCGAAATCTTCTCACTGCGTCTATGATTGGCTCGGCTCCTGCCAAGAACATTCAGACGGGAGATCAGCGCAGGCATAGCTCAGCGCATGGCATCACTGGCCTCGTCCCATCATATTCCGTCGTGCTTCTCTTGCCGATCTCACGCTTGAATCTAAACGTTTGCATTGCTCTCTACGATTGCCAATTTGTCACTAGGCAGCAAGAATTCTGAATGATGCTGCTCAATGGTGAGACATGGGAACAGTAGCGGCTACGTAGTCTAGTGATCAAAGTTGCGATGTGAGGTTATTGGATAGCTTAACGGACGCGGGGTAAGGAGCCCCTCGGCATTCGCCCCATGGCGCCGGGACGTGGGCATGGGGATCAGTCTAAGTGATCCTTCTCCACTACTAGAAACCATCCATCAATCCTACCGAGAAAGCCGTTGACGCAAGGAAGGTCAATAGCTTCATGATCTGTCACTCCAAGTCGCAAAAAACTGATCGTTCGTTGGCTCGCTTGGAACCGTTGCGCTTCTCCAGGAAGCGCTTATTAACAAGCCTCTTTGGTGCGTCAAGGACACGCTGGAAACACCGAGGGGTTCCTTGGTTCGTGAAATAAACGCTCCAACTTTCAGATGCTTCCAGGTTAGACACGTCAGGTAGCGTGAGCTAAACATACAAGGGAGGGAGCTCACGTGAACCTAACCCCTGCCCAGAATACGGGCCGACGGCGGGGTAAAATGGTTCGTCTTGTCTTTTTCCACCCCTGTCTCTGAGTCTGGGGTCGCATCTGGGGTTCTGGGGTTTGTCCGCGCGGCCTTTCTTCTTTCCCCAAGCCAAGACTTTACAAGTTTCTGGGGCACATTGACCTACTCACTTGGCATCAACTTGGCAACATGATCGGGAGACCGGGGTCATGGATGACATCTGGACCTTCAAAACGACTGCCGCAAAGATGAATGGCAGTTGAGGGCTTGGTACCTGATGCCGAGGCGCGTGTGGAGGACGCGGAGCGGGACGCAAGAGCCAAGCAAAAGCCAAGATCAGAGACTAAAGCAGGTCGAACGTTCCGGGGAGGTTGTTGATGTCCCGCAACTAATGTGACTGGGCAAATGCTTACCTTTACTAGCTCCGATTATACCACGATTCCATCAAGCCCCCTCCCCCTGACGTCTACCGCGCAGGACTTGGGAGAAGAGATGTCGCTCTGACCTTTACCGGACAGCCGCACCATATGCCTCTCCATCGGTCCATCGCTTCATTTCTAGACTTACCACTCTCCAGTGCCGGTCATCCGCACTATTCCCCCGCACTCTAGAACCAATCTGGCCACCCTCCCCGCTGCCCGCCAGCACCAGAGTCTTCATCGGAGAAACGACCCAGACGCATGCCATCGGATCCCACTACGACTTGAAGCGCACGTATAACACCAGTTCGGAAGGTCGTAATAGCGCGGCATTTGACATGCGCTCTCTGCTCATTGGAGGGAATTCTTGGCGCTTGGGGTTCTCGTGCGACCCTTCATCCAATATCACAGACATTGTCAACGAAACGAGATGAAGATGGATCACAAGGAACGTGCCATCGTGAAGCACCTCACGGTGTTTAAAAGACACACGATGACCCCGAGTCGTCGGATCATGAGAGTTGTCTCCCCAGGATCTCACAGGCATTCCCCTCGTCAGTGACAACTCCCCTCCCGTTCTCCGTCAGCAAATCCAAGGTCGTCCCTCCTTCTTCGCCATGTTGTCCAAGCCAATCCGCGAGCGCGGCTACACCCTCGGCCTCGCCCTCGTGGCCACAGGCTCCCTCGTCTCCGCCGGTCCCTGTGACATCTACGCCTCCGGCGGCAACCCCTGCATCGCCGCCCACAGCACCACCCGCGCCCTCTACAGCGCCTACACCGGCTCCCTCTATCAGGTGAAGCGCGGCTCCGACGGTGCCACGACCAACATTGCGCCCCTCTCCGCCGGCGGCGTCGCCAACGCGGCCGCTCAGGACACCTTCTGCTCCGGAACGACCTGCCTCATCTCGGTCATCTACGACCAGTCCGGCAAGGGCAACCACCTGACCCAAGCCCCCGGCGGCGCCTTCAGCGGCCCCGACGTTAACGGGAACGACAACCTCGCCAGTGCCATCGGCGCCCCCGTCACTCTCAACGGCCAAAAGGCCTACGGCGTCTTCATCTCCCCCGGCACCGGCTACCGCAACAACGCCGCCGTCGGCACCGCCATCGGCGACGTGTCCGAGGGCATGTACGCCGTCCTCGACGGAACTCACTACAACGGCGGCTGCTGCTTCGACTACGGCAACGCCGAGACCAGCAGCACCGACACGGGCAACGGCCACATGGAGGCCATCTACTTTGGCGACAGCACCGGCTGGGGCACTGGTGCCGGCAGCGGACCCTGGTTGATGGCGGATCTCGAGAACGGCCTCTTCTCCGGCGTCAACCCCAAGAACAACGCGGGCGACCCGTCCATCACGGACCGCTTCTTCACCGCCGTCGTCAAGGGCGGTCCCAACCTCTGGGCCCTCCGCGGCGCCAACGCCGCCTCGGGAGGCTTGACCACGTACTACAGCGGCGTGCGGCCTAACGCGTCGGGCTACAACCCCATGAGCAAGGAGGGCGCCATCATCCTCGGCATCGGCGGCGACAACAGCGTCAGCGCCCAGGGCACCTTTTACGAGGGCGTCATGACCTCGGGCTACCCCTCCGACGCGACGGAGAACTCTGTCCAGGCCAACATTGTCGCGGCAAAGTACGCCACCACTTCCCTGAACAGCGGTACCGCCCTCACCGTCGGCAACTCCATCTCCCTGCGCGCCACGACTTCCGGCTACACCGACCGCTACCTCGCGCACACCGGCTCGACCGTCAACACCCAGGTCGTCACCTCGTCCAGCACCACGGCCCTGAAGCAGCAGGCCAGCTGGACCGTCCGCACCGGCCTCGGCAACAGCGGGTGCTACTCATTCGAGTCCAAGGACACGCCGGGCAGCTTCATCCGCCACTACAACTTTGAGCTGGCCGTCAACGCCAACGATGGCACCAAGCAGTTCAAGGAGGATGCTACCTTCTGCACGCAGTCTGGAATCAGCGGCACCGGCAGCTCGTTCCGTGCGTGGAGCTACCCTACCACCTACTTCCGTCACTACAACAACCTGGGATACGCTGCGAGGAACGGCGGTGTTCACACTTTTGACTCTGCTACTTCCTTCAACGCGGACGTGAGCTGGGTTATTGCTACTGGCTTTGCTTAATCCAAGGGCGTTCGATGATGGGATGAGAAATACGGGATAACCTTGTTGGGGGGACGAGAGGGGAAATCGCACGTGCTCACTGATGTTGCAAGCCCTCGGGGTCTCATCTGAATGATTCTTGATAGTCTTTAATGCAAGCAGTTGTCCCCTTTGGGCTCAAGTAAAACTGATCACATATTAAACCACCTCGCGTATGAGTGATGCATGACTTAGGTCAAGAGTACAGGGGTTCCCGTGTACTAGGTAGATCAGGATCACTTAGCTGACACCATCTTCTTAAATAAGAGCTATAATGGTATAAAGGAATTGTCATACTTGTAACTGTCTGTCAACATGGTCCGCTCTTGTGAGTGATTTACTCAAAATAGAGACTGAGCTTGGCATCGCCCTTCCACACATGGTTCTTGGAGCATCATGCTTTAACTCAGCAAAAGAAGCAAGAGACACCTGTGCAATAGTCACCTCAATCGGCTGTATTATACACTTATGTTTCATTGCTATCAATTCTTTACAATAAGCACTCCTGATTTCTGGATCTACCTTAGGCAAGTCGCATCAGGGGCGGGAAGGTTGTAAGCCCTTGCGGACGGGGTAATTGACTACCTTCGAATTGAAGCTGGCTTCCACGATGAACTTGGAAAGAACCAAATCAGGCTTCTTAGAGCCATGAGGGCTTCAGTCTTTGGGGCTTGCCACCTGTATTCCATCCGGGGGCTAGTACGATATACTTGCATAGAGTAGCAGGCGAGCCAACGATCCAATACTAGCCTTACTGCTTTTTGATATTGTGGGTATCTGTCGTCGCAACACCATTCAACCATATAATACTGATTGTTCTCAACAATTAGGTGATAACCAATTTCAGCTCTCGAGGACACGAGTTGTTGCTATGCATAATGAGCGCATGAAAGATCAGAGACACGCACAAATCCAATCAGGTATTTGTGTCCGCTCATTGGATTTTATGACACGAAAACGGGGAAGAATAGAAATGAAGGCTGCTAGTCCTTCAGCTCCGAAGCCTTTCTCGCAGTGTCTCAGCCGCTCATGCAAAGAGGCAACCGGGCTTGCTGCGGCTTGTCACACATTTTCAGCTTTGCGAAGGTCACTGATAGCAATTCCTGAATCATCCAATCACAATGAATACCGCTTCCAAGTCTTCCAGTGGTGTCTTAATTCGGCCCTTGCGATTGGTTCATGTGATGCATACAGGGCGGTTGATTGTCGTGGCAGCGAGATGGTGGTGCAAATCATTCACTCAGCCACCAGCCACCTACATGCCACCTAGAAAAGCATTTTCAATTGTGGTGCCGGTAGCAGTTAGACATGGGCTTTCAGACTAATAAGCAGTAGCAAGTCCGATCACAGAGGTCCAAAGACTGGGACCTGTTGCTTCCGTCTGATAAGTCGGCCCAACCCCTCCCAGAGGCCTGAGACGATCGCTTGCTGGAGACACGTTTGCGCAGCTTTTGTTCAACCCACGATAATCATTCGCGTAAACATCATCATGGTAATTACCGCTGTAGACCAAATTATTGTTATTGATGTCACTGCTTGACTTTTTCTAACTTTCGCAATAGCCTTTTTCCGAAATAGCCCCAGGCACTGGCCTCAGTGGCGATGAGAAGCCTATAATCGAGTTAGTGTCACTGGTTCTCGTGTTTTGTATTTGGAATGATATTTTGTTTCTTACTCGATCTCAGCATCGTCGCAGTCCATGGCCTCAATCCCTTCGGAGGGGCTGCCCATTCCATTCGCACGTGGACCAAAAATGGTCGACTCTGGCTCCGAGACGACCTCCCTAATGATATGCCAAACGCGAGAGTACTCCTATACAAATACGACTCTGTCCCTGTTCTGGCCAGCACAAAGCAACGCCTGACTCACGAAGCTACGGAACTTCTGAACTGTATTGAGGTAGAGCGAGATCAGGTTTGTTACGTCCAAAAATAATGTTTGTGTTCACTTATGCTCAGAATAATGTGGGCAATTAGTGTGCGCAGCGGCCTCTCATATTCGTTGCTCATAGCCTAGGTGGCATATTGGTCCGACAGGTAATTAGCGAATCTACAAGTGCCCTGATCTTTCGTTATTGACCTACTCATGGCACGCTAGGCTCTTGTGAATGCCCACAATAATCCACAATACAACCCCATCAAAGATTACACGTAAGTTACCGTAAGCTGCTTGTTGGCTTCAAGTTCATAACACTGACACAGAACAAGGCGCGGGCTTGCCTTTTTCGCTACTCCTCATGGAGGAGGGAACGAGACACTTGTGTCATACGGAGCGAAGTGCGCCAGAGTCATCAACTTCATCACAAATTCGCACTAGAATGATCTGATGGAGGCAGTTACATCAGGATCACTCTATTCGGACATGCTGCAGGAGAACTGGAAACACCAGCTGAACAACTACCGCATCTATTCCTTCTATAAAGGAACTGGAACCGTATGCCCTTGTATACTCCACATATTAACTATTACGAGTTATAGCACGCAGCAATAGGTATACGGAGTATAGTAAAAGTAGCTTAATATATTAAAATAGAAATAAATAAAAGTAAAAGGTCTATATATACGATATCTAAAATAGATATATAATTTAGTACGTAACGGGTACTTCGTAAAATATAGTTACTATTCTTATTACGTAATATACCCCCTAATTACGACTATTAGGGAGCTATTATACCTAAAATAGAACTTCTAAATACCTTTATAAAAGCCTAATTTAGTTAAATATAAATAAAAAAAAAATATAAGGGATACGTATCTTTTAAACTACGTTTATTATAAATATATCCCTTTATTTAAAATAAATAGAATCTTAACCTAGAATAGCGTATATTCTATTACTTCTAATATATAAATTACTAAGGGTAAGGTTACTTAGCTACTTTACGTATATTTAAATTCTTATAACGTTACTTAGTTATTATTTTTTTTTTTTAACCCTTTTATAATTACTATATATACCCCCGTTTACTACGTACGCGCACCTATACTATTAAATCGTTTATTAATTTTATTTTAAATATAAATATTTAATATATTTAAAAATAATAATAAGTTTTGCGTAATTTTTATAATACTTCTTATATACGTATTATATAATTTATTAAGAATTTAAATAAGTAATAATATTAACGAGCCTTTTTAAATTATTACCCCCCTCTGTAACCTCTTACTTATTTACTAAAGCCTAGCTACTAAGCTCTCCCTTTTTAATTAAAAAAATATTAAAATTATTAATTAAAATACTAAGAACTTTATTAAGTTTAAAGCTCTCTTTAATAATCGTAATAAGGGTAATAATAAAATAAATAGTAATAATAAGAGCTCTAACGAGCTTTTACTTATCCCCCCCTTAGAGCTTAAAAATAAAAATAAAACTAATTTAAATAATAAGCTTTTTAAAAAAAATATATCGTATATTATTATTTTAAAAGTTTATATTTAATATTATTTTAAAATTTAAAAAACGTAAAACTAGCTCTTTTTAAAAAAATAATAAGAAATAAAAAAGAATATTAAAAAATAAAAGTACCCCCTATAATAAGTATAGTTCTTTTTATTATTCTAAGCCTATTTAATATATACTTAGTCCTTAAAAAACTTAAAAAAGAGGTTTTTAAAAAACGGGAGGTTTAATACTTACCCTATTTTAAAATAGCCCTCTAATATACTAACTTTAAAAATAGTAATTATTATTTTATAAAAAATAGTAGCTAGTATACGTACTACTTTAATAGCCGTTTAGCTAAAGAGTATATTAATATACTAATTATTTTATAATTAATAACCTAAGCCCTTATTAAAGCTATTATAAGTAGCGCTTCCTTTTTTATAAGTATATTATCCTTTTTTATTACTAAGAAACGTATTCCTAACTATAGTTTTAATAAAATATTAATAAGCTCTGCGTTATCGTTTATTATATAAAAAATAATAAAAAAATATATAAGAACTATATCGGGTTCTATATAAAGGATTTCCTCTTTATACGCCCCCCGCCCCCTCCTTTAAATATACTTATATTATTAATTATATTTATTATAATTATTTATAACTAGCCCCCTATTACGCTACCTACTCTTATACCCTAAGTTATTAACCTAACGGTTATTTTACTTCCCGCACCCCCTACTACCCCTATTACTTTTAGCTTTATAAACTTTAAAATATATAAAATATAGTTCTTAATATATATACTTACCCTCTTTATTAATAATACTATAATCTTAATAATCGCGTACTTCGTAAACTAAGAATTTAAATAATAAGTATAAGCCTAGGTCTTATTTTTATATATATATACTTTATAAAATAAGGTTATTTTAAAAGTTTAAGCCTTTAGGCTAAAAAAAGTTTTATTTTATTTATTTAGGCCTCCGGGCTATACTCTAAGTTCCGTTTATTATCTACTTTTAAATATTAAGTTTTTCTAAATATAGCCTAAATTAATTATTTTTAACTATTTTAACTATTTATAATAACTTTTTACGTATTATAAAAATTAAGAAATATATAAAAATATTCGAACTTAGCTCGTAAAAAGTTTTTAATAAGTTTATTTACTAATATATTTTTTATTAATATATAAGTAACCTCGAAACTATTTCTAATATACTCTTATTTTAGCTATATATTTTATATATTAATATAACGAAGTTAAGTAGCTATTCTTTCCCCTTCCCCTACGACGAGTTAAATCGTTTACTAATTATTATAATTAACTAACTATACTTCTCCTAAGTTAAGGGTAATATCCTTAAAAAAGCGCTTTAAAGCTATAGTCTCTTTTATAATTTCCTTAAAATAAAAAAGCTTAGCTTTAATAATTAATATTATAACTATTATTTAGCATATTAATTTCTATTAAATTAGGCTACTAAAAAAGAATATTATATATCCTTAAAATAATCGTCGTATTACTTCGTTATTTATAAAGCTAATATCTCTAACTAAAAATAATAATTACGTACTTAATATACTACTATAATAGAGCGCAAAATATCTTATTATATAAAAATATTAAATATAATAATTAATTACTTTAATATAAGTTACGCTTAGGTTAGTTAAGAACCGTAATAATTATAAATAAGTAAAAGCGACGTCTAATCTAATTATTATAGCTATATAAAGTATACTTCCGACCTTTTTTTAATAACTTTTTATTTCGTTCTTTATTACTTACCCCTTATTTAGTTTAAACTCGTCTTAAAAAAAAGGGGTAGCTAAATTTAATAAATCTATAAAGTTAAAGTACTTAATAACTCGCTTAATATATACGTTATAAATAAAATAAACCTTATAAATAGTACGGTTTTATAAAATCTGCACTCCGAAAAAGTAATTAATTAATCTATTTTTTTTAAAATTAATATATTCTTTTATACTATTAACGATTCCCTAAGCTACTTTTTAATTATTTTAATAATATAAAATAATAAAATCGTCGACGTAAAATACTAATATTACCTTTTTATTTATAGTTTAATAAATATAGATCTCCTCGTAACTATATATTATATTTATATTACGAAGTATAAAAATAAAAGTTTAGAACTAGAGAATTAATAAGTCTTAGAGGCTATATAAAGCGTATTAGAGCTTATTTATTTTATTAATAACTTTATATCCCTCTAAGAGTTTAATAATTACTAATTTCTCGTTTTTAAAAAGCACGTTAAAAATATGTTAATAATATTATACTAATTTATTTTAAGATCGAATTAAGTAGCTATTATTATTATAAGCCTAAAGGCTTTTATAATAAGTATTAAAGCGTATATATTTTATAAAGGGTTAAGTAGTTATATATCCCCCCTTATATATATATATACTTTTATCTTATAAACCTTATTATTAGCGTCGTACTTATAAATATATACTTATTTTAATAAAAATAGGATCCCTTATTTAAAATTATAATTAATTTCTTCTTATATACTAATATCTCTTAGCTTTTTTATTTTTACGTTTATAATATCCCTAAGTAGCTTTTATAATTATTATAAGAAATATTTAATATTACTAAACTTCTTTAATAAGCTCTAGAAATTAACTTTAATAAGTCGTAGTTTTTAAACTCCTCTAGAGCGCTCTAAATAAGTCTTATAAACTACTCTTTTTACTACTTAATAAAGTATTATATTTTTATACTACTTTTTTCTATAGCTTTTTATTAATTAAGTATAAAAATAAAAAAAAAGTAGTCCTAGTAATAGTTATAATAATCGCTATTTTCTATATTTAAATATAAGAGCGTTATAAAAATATTACTATCGAAGTATTATAAAAATCTACGGGCCCGGTTTAAATATCTAGGACCTAATAAAGCTTTATTTAGTACTTAATAAAATAATTTTTATAAGCTCTATTTTTATATAATAATAGAGGTTTATTATAAAAGTTCTTTACTAACGTCGATTTTAATATTAAAAATTACTTCTTCGTAATTAGTACCTTATTTACTATATACTCTAGCGTTTTACTAAGAACTGTTAAGAATTAAAAACTCAAAAACCTTTATAATATATATAAGCGCTTATAAAAAGGATTATAAACTATATAAAGCTATTTATAACCCGGTTATTATAACCCTTTTTTTATCCCTATTCCCGAGCTTATATAAAAAAGTTATCTTAAGGGTTAATAATAATAATAAAACTATATTAACCTCTTTAACCTTATTAACTATATTTTAAAATACGTTTATTAATTACTTAGCGTCCTAAATAATTAAAAATTTAATAATAATACTATCCTTAACTATAAAATTATTTTAAATACTAATATTTCTAAAGTCTAGATTTATTTCCCTAAGTACTTAAATTAACTTATTATTAGTATTAAAAAGTTCTTATATTTTTTAAATTACTAAATTTACTTACTTACTTATAATAACTTACTCCTCGTATATAAGATTATAAAAAACTTTTTTATTAAACTTAATATTCTTTATAATAAATACTTATTTAAGTATAGGTACTTAAACCCTATATAAGTTATACGTTTTTAGTATATATCTAACTAAGTATCCTATATACCTATAAGGAAGTATTTTAAACTCCTTTTATTATATACCCCTCTTATAATCCTTATAAAAAGGATATACTTAATAACTATATATATAAAAATTACCGAGATATGGGGTTATTAATTTAAAATTCTATACTTAATAACCCGTTTACTACTAGCGTTAATATCGCTTTTACTAATTAATTTTTATTATAATAAGCGAATTTCCTTTATTAGCCTCCTATAAAGTAATATTATAAATAAAAATTATTACTAATACTATTTCGTTTTATAAATTCGTAAAAAAGTTCGTAAAAAAGCACATTTTACGAGCTTTAGTAATTACGAATTAACTTATTCTTTTTACGTTATTTACGAGTTCTTTTATATATAAAAATAGAAGTTCTATTTTAATTTTTAGCTCGCTATATTACGTTTTATATACGTATTTAACGTTTATAATTAAGAGGGCGGTCTTATTATTATTTCTAAAAAAATAAATTAAAGTCCCTTTTTAATAATAAATCGCTACTTCGAGGCTCTATAATATAAAAAGCACTTCCTCTTCTATTTTAGTTTTTAAAAAAAACCCCCTAAGCTACTTATTATATTTATTAAAAACTATAAATATATATTATTATTTATTAAAAAATAATTTAAAATAAAAGAGATCTTAGTATATATAGTATTATAGTTATAAGGCTCTCCTCGAGGGTAGTCCTCTTAAAATTACTATCTTAATATTAAATAATATATATACTTTATACTTAACTTATAATAAAAGTTTAATATATATACTTCGAATTTTATATAGTAATTAATAAAAAGTATCAGGTCTAAAATAACTTATTTTAAAATACTAGAAGAGCGTACTATTAAATCTCTTATAAATACATTAATACGAGTAACGGAATTTTTTATAACTAACTAATAATATAATACTAGCCGGGCTCTATAAAATACGCTTAAAGTTTATAAAAAAAGGATAGAATTAGAGGAGCTTATATTTAAAAAAGACTAGATTATTCTTTTAAATAAGCTACTTTTTAATAATACTTTTATAAAACGTTCCTTATTATAAAATATAATCTAAACCGTAATACTAAAGTACGTTTTTATTTAATAAAATCTCTAAAACTATATTAATATAAAATCCCTCGATATAAGTAACGTTCTAAAGCTTTAAATTATAAGTTCCTTTTTTTTTAAGTCCGTTTAAAACGCCCTTTATAATATAAATACCGCGTATAATAATAAATAACGTAGTAATTCTTAATTTAATATAATTATTATTATTTAATAATACGTAATTCTTAGGTTTAAATAGGCTCTTATTATTAACTAAATATATTATTTTATAACTATTTATTACTATACTTTAAAAAAAGGAATAAGCGTTATTTATAAAAGTACTAAAAATTACGTTTATTTCTAAATCTTAACTTTTTATAAATATAGTAACTACGTAGCCCTCGTCCTAGTTTATTAATAAGCTTACTATAAATTAATTAGAAAATCTTTTTAAAAACTTAGGTTTCTTAGGGGTTCTATTATTTTTTAACTAACTAGCTTTTTTAAGCTTACTATAAAGTAATTTTTACTTACTTAATTTAATAATTACGAAGACTTTCTTTATATAGCTCTTTAATATCTATATTAATAACTTATTAGCGTTTCGGCTTATAAATACTTATTTTAATTTTTAATATACTAAAGGGCACTATAAGTATACGTAATTATAAAAGTACGTAACGTTATTTTTATTATTTACGTCGTTAACTAAGTTAGAGTGTTTAATAAAAATAAAATAAGCCCCTCCTTAATTTAAAAATTATTTAATATATATATCCTAAGTTATTAAACTAAATATATACGTAATCTCCTCGAGGGTTTTAGTATACGTTCCGAAAGTTATTAATTTACTAAAAGTCTTATATATATATTAGCCTTATATAGGGTTAAGTTTAAACTTAACTATAATTAAAAAGTTAAGTATAGCGATCTCTTTACTAATTTCTAAAATATTATACGTTTTAGCTTAGAAATAAATAAACTACTACTCCTTATACTAGCGTTAAAAGTTAATTCTAGTCCTTGCTTTATTAAGGGCTTATTAATATTCCTCTTGAACTATATTCTTAATTACTATTTTAAAGGGCTAAAGTTTTTATTTTAGTTATTTAATAATTCGTTATATACTAAACTTAGAGCCGTTTTTAGTAACTTTTTAAAATACGTATTTATAAAAAGTAATATTAACTAATTTTACTAACTATTAAGCGAGGAGTTTAATATATATATTAACGGTATTACGTTCCTAAGCTTTAAATTATTTATATTTAGTATCGATCTTTTATTATTTTTAAATATTTTTAAATATATAAATCCTTTTTATAAGTATAGTATAAGGATAAATTTATTTATATAAAATAAGTAATATAGCTAGTTTTATAAAAAAAAACCTAACTTAGTTTTATAAATTATTTATATTTAAAAAAGTCGAAGGGGTTATATTAAGAGTTATATTTAAAAACTATTAATAAAGGATTTCTTAGTTTTTTTAATTATTCTTAAACGCCTTATAACGTACTTAGTAAGCTCGTAGTTCTTTTTTATTACGGGTTATAATTAATTATCTAAATTTAAAAAATAAAATAAGTATTATAAAAAGGTTAAAGAGTACGTTAGAATTTAAAGCGTTTAGGTTAACGTATTTTTAAACCCCGACGCCCTTATTTATAATATAAAGTACGTTAAACTATTTAATTTAACTATCTTAGCTAGTTAATTTAGCTTAGATTAAAGTAAGTATAAGTATATTTATTATTTTAAAAAGATTATAAAAATCGTATTAATAAGTACGTTATCGTAATATAAGGTCTTAATTAAGAACTAAGTTTATAATTATTACGAGTTATAATACGTAGTAATAAGTATATAAAGTATAATAAAAGTAGCTTAATATATTAAAATAGAAATAGATAAAAGTAAAAGGTCTATATATATAATATCTAAAATAGACACGTAATTTAGCACGTAACGGGCACTTCGTAAGATACGGTTACTATCCCTATTACGTAACATTAACTAAGCTTGGCATTAATTCGCTTCAGATTGTTTCACGTGACTCGGCGACCTTGAATATGCCGGGTGACGTTGAAACAATTGTCAGAATCAACGCCGGCCACAGCGACATATGCCGCTTTGATACTTCAATGCCGGTCGATAAGGACAACTATAAACAAGCGATACATGGTTTGAAAAAGCTTTCGAATGCCGCTTGCAATCATCTAAGGGATATCCTGCCTGCTCCTCCGGACACTTTGCCCTCTTTCCCCACATCTGCCGCTGAGCTGTCCGGAACACATCAAGGTGCGTAAGGAGAATAGAACACCAGAAGATGGAGGATACCTCCAAGGGACCAAGGCGGATAAGAACCATGTAGAGGAAGATAATATCTTACGCCGATTGTTTCAATTTAAGTGTAATTCAACCCAAGAAACCATCAGTCCAACTGACTTCTTCGTTCTTAAAGGCCCATTGATAGTACATCAAGGCGAAAACAACGTGCTTGCATACACGTTGTTCCCAGATAATCCACGTGTTCAGCAGGTGCTTTACGTGGTCGCGGCAGAGGCTGCTCGCAAAGGGGCGTTTGCAAGCAACGTTCTGGAGAGAAAAGACTCGTCTCTACCATCATTCATTAAATCCTTCGTTCACTATCGCTACGACGAGGCGTACGAAGAAATCAACCAGAGAAAGCATCCTGAATCGTGTAGCTGGATCTTTCGCACTCCTGGCATGGAATGGTGGATGAACAGCAAGACGCATTGTGCTCTGTGGTTCACCGGGTTTCCCGGCGTTGGAAAGTCTACTCTGGCGAGCCATCTGGTGGAGACACTCAGTTCAAGCCACCCAACGATGCAGAAGAGCAAGACTCTCTATGCTTTCTGTCACCATCATGAGAACCACACTGGAAGCATGGTCCTCTCTATTGCAATTCACCAGATGATCATGGAAGAACCGACTCTACAACGTTTCGCATTTGATCTGGACGATCAAGAATGCTTCAACCCTGCCATCAAACCCAGGGATAGACCTTTGCAGCCCTTGTGGCGTCTTTTGTGCAAGTTGATACAAAAGTCCGGGGTACAAGTTGTATTCTTCGTCATTGATGCTTATGACTTGATAGACCATGATGACCAGAAGAAGCTGAAAGACCTTTTTCGCCTTTATTTGAGTAGTAGCGAGCCTGGAAAACCGCTTCTGAAGGTTTTCATGACAAGCATCCCCTTTCAGCACATAATGGCATTGCAGTCTGAATGGGACGCCCGGTCGCCTAAAACCCTCCAAACCATTGCCGCCTCAGATCACGAGAACGAGATCGGCATAGATATTGATAAATTCACGAAACGCGAAAAAGAGAGAATTAGGAGGCTTTAAGGTTATATACAGCGGTATCTGAGCATTATAGATGAGCAGCTGAAATCATACCAGCCCAAAAGGTTTCTGCCTATTGCACTCTACTTCAGACAGCTCGAGACCGCAGCACCAGAATCACTGCAGAACTTCCTCCGAAATCTCCCGGACGATATGTATGTTGTTACAGAGAAACTTGTAGTACGGCTTCTACTAGAGTTACTCGCCGGATCTTCTCCACTAATGAATTGTGTTATACACGGATTCTAGGCACTATCCAAGTTGGAACTAGCCTTCGCATGCCGGGTGTTAGAGGATGGGCTAGATAAAGACCTGCCTTTCCCCGCTGAGTGCAAGACACCAATGTTAGACGACGACAAAAAGAGCATTGCCATCAGGGTCGGCAGGTATTCTCCCCTTCTGGAGATTGGTGCAAACAACACGATTGATGTCTTCCACAAATCGATTCGGGACTTTCTCCTGCAAGCTGCCGAGGAGCGAGAAAATTTCTGTCTCAAAAGCCACAGGCAAGCCCACCGAGATCTTGCTGTTTTGTGTATGAAGGTCATCATTCACAAGGATGAATGGCTCAGGGCTCAACAGCGAGAGAACAGGTCTCTTCCTAGCATTCGGATTTATCTCGGAGAACATACTTTCCTCCTCTACTCCGTTCGGTACTGGCGACAGCATCTTCTTGAGGCTATACCGCCCCAAACACCACGCCACAAGATTGACGAAGAAATTCTTTCAGGCGTACATGGAATTGTCAAGATGTGGAAGGATGACAGTACGAACGTATATTTACAAGACAGAATGATCTATAACCTTGGTCCCTCTCAGCACCGTCAGTGTTTGAATCGAAACCTAGCACCCTTGGAGGTCCTGAGCGCATTGGGTCTTGACGCCATACTTCAGGTATTTATCGAGTTGTCCCAGAAAACTCCGGCACCAAGGATTCGGAGGCCGACAGAGAGGATCAACGACGCAGTCAGGTTGGCCATTCAGGGTGGCCACGAGGGCTGCTTTGACATATTGTGTAAATCATTCGATATTTCCTCACTTGAAGGAGAAGACTTTAAAGGTGTGATGGCCGACTTAATATGGGCAGGGAGTCCAGGGTTGGTTGAGAAAGTCCTAAGGTTAAGACGTACGATGATCCCGGAGTTCTTAGAAGCCTTGTTCGCCGCTTTTTTAACAGGGGACCGTGATAGCCTCAACGAGCTTACTAGAGATCGATCGATCTTTAAGGACCACGACTACTTTGGAATGAGTGCGCTTTACGCTGTTTTTGCCTACAATTACGGTCAGACGTTTAGTAAGGACCTGTCACCTTAGGAGCCAACCAATGTCATTGTGGCCATGTGTCAGTATCTCATCCGGAATGGACTGGATACTGAAGAAGAGGATAATTACGGCTTTATACTACTACATTGGGCATACAGATCTGGATTATACTGCCGGTGATAAGTAATCGAATGCCTTGTATCTAACGGTGCCAATCCTCGGTTGCGATCTGTTTCTGGCCTAATACTACTATACCTTGCAGCATTTTTTGTTACAAACATTGATGGATTTAACTGTCTTCTCGAATTGGGATCTAATGAGCTTCTAGGGATAGTATCGCTTGGACTGATGACACTACTGCACTGGGCCGTCACCCGTCCGTCACGGCGTGCTCACTTTCCTCATGAGGATGGGGAAGAGGACATAACAGAAGATATCATGAGATCATTACTACGAGGCGGAGCGGACATTCGACGGGAGAATTCGCGCGGCATCAGTGTGTTGCAGTGGGCAGGTCGCGAGAGGAGTCAGATACTACAGGCCATCTTCTCTGGTCTGGATGGTGTTCAGCTCATACAAATCCGCCATAACGCAAACATTGACCATTCACCACTTTGGCAACCATTGGGAGATTTAGAGACGGATTCACCTGGTCGCCTCGTACCCCTCGCCAACGCGCCGTGTACCCAAATTCGACAACGAGATGTCGAAGAAGTCTGTGAGACCTCAGAGCCTCAGCCTGCGCGGGCGAACTTGTGGATTCGCATCAAGCGTCGCTTACGTCTCGACCAGGGGAAGTTCAAAAGGTAGCAACGATGCTTCGTAGAGATTAGATTCGGCGTCATGCGGAATTCCAGGTTCCGAGGGCAGTGAAGGTCCCTTCCATTGCGGCCGAGAAGTGGAGCCTGGCTCCGATGTGCTCGCGATACTTTCGACTGATGTGTACCTATCCATCAAGTAGTACCTATGTAATAGTACTTACCGTAAACCAGAATTGTCTAGAATTGAAAAGAGAAAACCAAAGTCTGTGTGATGTATGTGCTTATCCTTCTTGAGAAACAACCTGGTGCCGCTGCATGATTCGTCAGATCGAGTACAGTAGCGTCCGCAGTAGCAAGAGCCATTCTAGGGTACGTCAAGAGCTTCCATCGATAATTGTGGCTAGTAACATTCGTACGTTTTGCGATTTCGAATTAAGCGGCCAAGCTCTTGACCACTGAATGCTGCGCAAGCCCGGAGGATTCGAGTCAGGGATCAAATGCCAATTCAGCCCGACTCTCCGATGGCACAAACCTTGTTGGTTCGACCGAGGCCGACTACAGTCAGGCTTCTCTCTTGGCTCTAGAAGAAATTTCACGAAATCGAACTTTTCAGGGGGGGTGACAAACAACCTAAAAGGCTGAGCCGAGGTCCAGCAGCTTTGCCCAGACTTTCCATGACAATGCAGCACGCATCCCACGCTGTGACGCCAGGGCAAACAGGCACGCTGGCACTAAGAAAAAAACACCGAACCCCGTTTGGGGAGTGGGGGTCCTCCGTCACTTATCGCTGCCAATCGACGATAATTTGCGCTCGCGCTCCGACCCCAACAACACCAACAAACGATCCCAACCAAAGCGACCGGGGGGTGGGTGCGAGGCCCGCAAAACGAGCTCCGTGGACCCGGTAGACAAGCGCGCAATCCATACGGAGTACTTTACATTTCCTTTCGAAATTTAAATCCCATCACCAACCCATGGCGACCTCTCTCCTCGCCCAATGCTCAACCACCCTCTGGTGCCACCTCCGTTCCCTCCCCCTCTGGGCCTTCGTCCTCGTCGTCCTCCTCCTCGGCGCGCTCCGCCAGCGCATATTCCCATCTTCACCGTCTTCTTCTCCGACCAGACGGCGACGGGAAGCACCGGCCGTCGCGGATAAGAAGACGTCCGCTTCCTGAAGGTCTCAGTCACTCAAGGAGAAGACAACACCAGCAAACCAGATACACAAGATGGCGTCCGCAATCGCAAAGGCCTCGCGCACCGAGGCTGACTTCGATCGCGTCCCCGTCCGCGTCGTCCGCCTCATCCGCCTCGCCGGCGCCAGCGGTCTGGCGTACGCCGCCTACAAGATTCACTGGCGCATCGTCCTCGCCAGCTTCTTCACCGGCCCGGGCAAATTCAGCCGCATACTCATGCTCGTCTTTGCCCTGCTGAACCTCAAGAACATGCCCTTTGTCTGGACCGTATGTTAAACCTCTCTCTTGTCTAGAGACAGAAGACCAGTGAAAGAAGAGACTGACACATCCACAAACAGTACCGAGTATGGCACGCAATAATCTACCACCTCTTCATCCGCAAATCCCCCCGCCTCGGCCCGCGCTCCCTCTTCCGCCCCATGATCTCCCAATCCCACGCCCCCATCACCGAGATAGACTACAACATCCACAAGTCCAACTCGACCTACTTCTCCGACCTCGACGTCTCCCGCACCCACCTCTGCACCTACCTCCTCCGCCCCGGCTTCCGCCAACTCACCCACAACGCGACAACAAAACTCGTACTCGACCCCAAAACCTCAAAACCCGCCCGCGGCCCGCTCGGCATCATGCTCGGCGCCGTACACTGCTCCTTCCGCCGCGAGATCACGGCCTACGCCCCCTACGAGATGTGGTCCCGCATCCTCTCGTGGGACCGCAAGTGGCTGTACATTGTCACGCACTTTGTCCCCAAGGGCACCGCGCGGCCGACAGAGTGGCTCGATCCGAAATTCGGCACCGCGCGGGTCCGGAGGAACACCGGCGGCGACGCGAGCAGCAACAGCGCGGACTGGGAGAAGAAGATTTACGCCACGGGCGTGAGCAAGTACGTCTTCAAGATTGGGCGGTTGACGGTGCACCCGGCCGTCGCTCTCGAGGCGAGCGAGCTGCTGCCGCACAGGCCGACCGAGGGCGGATGGCAGGGCGGCGAGAACGGTGTCGGGGACGAGAGTGTTGATCTGAGCGATGTCGCGGACGACGGCGCGTGGGACTGGAAGATGGTTGAGAAGAGGCGGCGCGAGGGGATGAGGTATGCTGCGCAGTTTGCTGCCATGGATGACCTGCATGGATGGCTGGACGGTGCGGATGGCGGTGACGGAAGTGCCTTGGGCAAATTCGGACTTGGATAAGACGAGAGGAGATGGTGGGATTCGTGATACCCAATAGACTTAGACGGTATTAACATTAGATGATGATAGAGACGGGGGCAAAGGCGGAATCGTAGATGATTCAATCTGGGATATCAATGTTTCTCCAGGTTGACATTGCCATTAATCAGCTGATAGAACTAGATATGCATGCGCGTACAACTACATCAAGACTTCCATCGTCAGGTGTGCTGGCTATTTCTCTTTTTCCCGCTAAACTCCGCAATCCGCAATCTTTCCTCTTGCATTGGGTATATCAATTACAAGGGATGAAGTAAAGACGTTGTTTAAATCAAAGCCACAACTGGTAGGTGAGAAAAGTGGATTTAGAGAGCGAACGCAGCGGCCGCGGCGATGGCTCCAGCCCAGCCAGCGACCTGAGCCCGACCAGCGGCGGCTGGTGACGTTGTAGTGGTGACGGCAGCTCCTGTTGCGGTGCCGCTGCGGGAGGAGGTTGATGTGCCGGAAGCCGTAGTCGCGGCAGCGGTGACGGAGCCAGCAGAGGCGGTGCCGGAAGATGTGCCTCCTGCGGCGACCTGGGCGCAGATCTGAGAGGCGAGCTGGAGTACCGCTGGAGATGTGTTAGCTCTGTTGTTCAAAAACCAGAATGCCTTTCTCATGCTTTGTGGGATCACATACTGGCTTGATCTGTCGAGCTGCAGCCGGAGGAAGCAAGGCAGGGCACGACCTTGGCTGTAAGCTGTTCAACCTTTCCGCAAGAGCAGGCAAAGTCTGTGATATCGCAGTTGACAGACTGGGCACCGTCACGGATGCAAGTGACCGCGCAAGTGGGAATCTCGGCAACGAGCTGATCGATGGTCTCGGCGGCCACAAGGGCGGCAAGGAGAGATACGACAATGGTGTACTTCATCTTGGCGGTTGGCTGTGATGGTTCGGGGCCGAGGTTGGATCGAAGTAAGTGCGGGATGTGGAGGTGTGGTGAAGTAGCTGATAAGACGTGTAGGAGCAAACGCAAAGTAGAATAAAGTAGCAGACCGGTTGCGAGAGAGGACGAAGTGGTCTTATAAAGAGCATCGAACGAGACGCCAAGACTGTGGCATCAACAGCAACCGGTCGCCGGAATGGCACAAGCTCATAGAGGTAAACCGCCGAGAGCTCCAAACGTAGCCAAGACGCGGTCTACGCCGGCGCGCCGTAGCTGTCTCGCACCCCGGATCAGGCAAGACGACGGATGGGGATTATGGGACAGTGATGGGAATTATTGGTGAGGGATTCAACCGAGCGGGCCAACCCCCCTCAGACAGCTGCTCACTCGAGCCTTGTCATCCGTTCTGTGGCAGAACGTCTACTGTCAGTCTAGAGATGATCGGCCGCCACAGCTCACTTGGCGTGAAGCCGCTGGAGCTCTCACGAAATGCACCGCTCGGACTGGCTCGTTTTGCAGTGCTGTCTAGTAGTCGTGGCGCAGGTGCTAGTTTTCCCTCTGACCGTGAACAAAGGCGGCTAGAGGGGATTCTGGGTCAGTTGGTAGCATCAATCCTCCATCCTCCAGTTCCGAGCTGTGATCGATCTTCCGCAAACGTCTGCGCGCGGAAACCGAAGCTCAGGCAAGGGCCCTGGAGGCGGGACGAGCTGACCAGCTTGCGGTTTGAGATGCCCTCTTGTGCAATCGCTCGAGTCTGGACTTTTCCCGAGCAGCTGTCCATCTTTCCCGACGAATGCGCCCTCAAGGTCTCAGATACATGACGTTGACGACCAGTTGCCTGGGTCTTCGCTCTGAGGAATGCAGGCTCAGGGGAAGTTGGTTAAGCTCATCCGGCATCAACTAAGCTTCCCGCAGGCCCCTGTCACCTGCAGGTCGGAAAGAGGAAGATCAGACGCTTGGCCAATCGAAGTGCTCCATTCGTGGGTGCAGGGAATGCACTGAGAAACACCTGCATTAGCCGTCCGACGCTTCTCGCATGGTGTGTGGCCTGTGTTCCCGTGCCCTCCCGTGCCTCGACCAGAATATCGGACGAATGCTTGCCAGTCTCTGCGAGTTATCTCGTCCAGTCGCACTTTTCAGCTATCGAGCCAGCGGCCTTTCGTGGAGAGAAATGTAATCGACCCCAAACGTAAGATTGGGGGATCATGAGTCAAGCATGATCAGACGTGAAGAACAACCGACGTGGTGTTTTCGGAGGCGTAGCTATCAACCGCATGGCCGAGGCCGTGCGTTCCGGGTCTATTGACCACGCGAAATTGGTTTCCTCATCCTTTTCATTAGCCTCGCAGACTCTGATTGCACACTCTTATCCACCAATCGACCAACGTGGAGCGTCTACCTCTAGCGGACATTCGCGCATTGTGAGCCGCTAGCTTCATCGTGTTTGCCTAAGCAGTGTCTGCCTTGAGCAGTTTCTTCTCCTGATAGACCTTCAGCTGGAAAAGCCTTCATCCTGGTGGCGAATGGGAGGCACCACAAGGATTCTCTCACGTTGTCGTGCGCTTGTAGGAAACGCGTTACTCAGAGATATGATGCTAGATGGGCAAGCAATTGATTGTGCCGGGCCTCGAGACTCCTCATGCTCAGGAGCATTGGCAAATGTCAAACCGTAGCGACAGTCTCAAGCTGGTCGTTGCTCCATACACTCCCGTTCCAGTTACCAACTTGCCCCAATCCGAGTACCTAGCAGTTTGAAATCTGTCGTGAGCTTGGCAGGTGCCTGACCCGATGGGTTGCTCAGCGATTGTAGAGCATAAGAATGCAAACGGAGTGCCGGGCAGAAGATTGGCGGCGAGATGAGGTATCGAATCCGAAGCCGTTGGCGCGTGGGATGTTGATTCGTTCCTCGCAAGCCGCCCTCACAGCGGCCGTGGAAGTTCACCTCTATTCTCGACGTCCACTTGAGGTGGTCACCGTTTTCATAGTTGATCGCAGCCACGCATGCTGAACGATAATTCGAGCTCAATAACTGAGACGGGTGCACGGCCGAAGCGGGTGACTGCCTTGTTGCTGGTTTGACCGTAGACTGCAAAGTTCGGCTCTCGAATTGGAGCCATCCCAACTTTGTTTCCTCGGCATAGCTGTCGAGCCACAAAACCACTTCAATCTGTGATATGAGAAAACCTTTCTCAGTGGTGCCACGACTCTAGCCCAGCTTCGCGTGGGTAACATCGTATTCTCTCGTACTGGGGTTTAAAAAGCATAAAGTTGGGTGACGGCGAGCTGCCAGACTCTTTCAGTCTTACTTGCAGACAAGTGCAAAGTTAAGTTGGGTTAGAGGCGAATAGCAAAGCATGCGAAGTCTGGTAGCGAGCGATATATATGTAAGTCGGGATTGGAGAGGTGGTTGATGATAAGACGGAATCGCTGGCTCCGCGAAGAAGTCGGTGACGAAATGGCGGACCCACCTACAGTGCCTGCCGTGCGAGGTCTGATTACTCAGACACGGTACACCAGTGCCCCTCCATCCCAGATTGGCGGCCGCGGGGCAGTCGGACCTGAACAAAGTCCACCTTGGCTAAAGGCGCGACAACTTCCACTCTCCTTCACATCACACTGCCCCCAGACAACTACAGAGAAATCATGACGGAACAACCGGTATCAGTCCTATTTGTCTGCCTCGGCAACATTTGCCGCTCGACAATGGCAGAAGGCGTGTTTCGCAACTTTGCGCAAAAGCCTCAGTACAAGGGCCTCATCTCAAAGGTGGATTCTTGCGGCACAGGTACGAATCATGGCGGATACGTCATGATGAACCCAATTCCTCTACCACTTCTCGTGCGCAAAGCAAAGCTGACGCGGTCTTTCTGCGCAACAATAGCGGCCTACCATGTCGGCGATCCTCCAGATGACAGAACTATGGCAACGCTCGAAGACCACGGCATAACGGATTACTACCACGCTGGTCGCAAGGTACGATGGTGCTCCCTCTCTCACAGGGTGCGCCCGGGCGGGTCTGAAGAGAGAACAGACTTGCTGACCGTCACGCTTTCACAATGTTTAGGTGTCGCCCTCAGACTTTAACAAGTTCGACTACGTCTTCGCTATGGACCGATCCAACCTACGAGACCTCCAAAACCTACAACAACGAGGCCACACCGATTCAAAGGCCAAGGTGATGTTATTTGGCGAATTTTCAGGAGGACCGAGGTCGGAGGTGGTCAACGACCCTTACTACGGTGGCGACGAGGGCTTCGCAAAGGCCTATGAGCAGTGCACGCGGTTCTCGACCAACTTTTTAAAGCACGTCTTCCCCAATGTCGACCCTAAAGCATAGAAGGATCGCGGGTTTGCGACCGCGGCGGAGACAGCACTGGAGCCAGATGGATGAGGATAAAGGGCCGGCGACGCGCCGCGAAACACGACTTGGGAGCGGCGTCACGCGTTGCAGCAGAGATCTGACTGGCTGGGTGCCAAATATGGGTTTGTCGTTGACGATCATCTTGTCCACGACAAGGCGCCAGGACAGGGGCAAGAGGGATGGGTAGGCCATTGGGAACAGCTTGCCGCGCTGCCCGATTGATCATGCTGCATTATTAGAGAAGGAAAGGCAGAGAAAAGAGGAGCATTTAAGCGTGTCTTTGGTTTGATTGATTCCACAGCTACAAGATGCATATAGAAGATTAGATTCCATGCAGCTGCCAGCCAATGTAGGTCCCAAGTGCAGGACAACGGCAAGACGGCCAGATGAGGATGGAGCCGTAGACGCCGTTGAAGAGAGCTCGAGGGGTCGAGGTGCCTAAGCGAAATGGGATTCGAGATGTCGGCTACGCGCAAGCTAGCGTTATTGGCGGCGGCAGCAGCTAGGCACTTGAGCCTTGGCATCGCATACGAAGATGGCAGAGCACCAGGTGGCCCAAGGGAAAGAAATATTTGGAAAACAGCACTGTCTGAGCAGATGTTCGTGGTATAGGTCAGAGATTCTTCAGCCCTATTTGTCCAGTACACATCGATGTACCTGGGTTGCTATGGTAGTGCTGCCCAATAATGGGAGGAGTAGCTTACCTACGCCGTCGAGGATGACTGCGCAAAAGACGGTGGACGAATTGCTTACGGTAGATCCCTCGAGGGCTGTGGTGTTGGATGAGGTGCGATATTTCGGGATCCTGCGAATGAGGAATGATTAATGTGTCTGATGCTGACACCTCTAAGCTTATATGATAATGCAATGGTGCATTTTGACCATGGAAGAGAGGGGTAGCCTAAAGCTCGCATTTTCAGCAACCTGCCTTGGGTGCAGTTGCTTGGTACGTCTCGTTCCGACCTATATGATTGTGGATGAGGCGCGGCTGAATCGGCCTTCAGTTCAAAGTTTTGACGGTGCTCACATCTGGGCCAAATGCGGGCCAGGACGAAGGTCTGACAGTCAAAAGTGTCTCACTTTAAAGGTCCAAAGTCCTGGGGTTTCTTCTTCAGCCGGCGCTGAGCTGCCACTGCATTCCAAAGACCAAATTTTGTTCCTCTTGTGTTGGGATGCAGCATCCAGGCATCAAGCAGAGAAATTGCAGTATTCGTATCCCAAACTCTCTTCCCCATTGCAGAATCTTGATTGACGTGTTAGAGCCGGTCATTGATGCAGGTACTCACGCTGCATATATCTGCGAAAATGAGGTCGTTTCTGCTCGTGTAAAAAGCCGCCAGGCCAGCCTTGGACCCATAGTCAACTCTCAACCGGGAATTCGAGTGAGGGTGGTCTGTACGATCCATGGCGATGATTTGTCGCGCGGTTGCGAAAAGCTGCATCTCCAAAAGTCCAGTCACGATGCTCAGCGGTTACTGGCCCGAGGTATATGGAGCCTTTCATCTGAGGACGGAGCCAATGAGAGACCTCACAAAGACCCAGCCAGCAAATCAAGTGCGGGACTGGGGATCGTAGTGTGGATCCACACGTCTCTTCACGCCAAGTCGCTTCCGGCCTAACGTCAGCAGCAGCTTGTACCTTGTACCTTGCCTTGCAGTTTTCCCATGTTCCCACGCAGGAAGCTCAAAATCTTGAGCTCTTGATGTATCCATTTGCTTGACATTGGTTAGACTGGATTCAAGACAGCCGACTAACTACGGATACTTTACTCAAGTAAGGTAGCTAGGCACCAGGTACTACCGTAGCACCAGTACCTTGAGTGCTGCAACGTGGTCGGGGCTTCCTCGTAAGGCAGAGACACAAGAGCACGGGATGGGGGGGGGGGGGGGAGCTTCAGCCCACTACGCAGTACCCATACCCCTCTCACCCCTCTCTTCCATTCATTCTCCTAATATCCTACCATCAATCTGAACAAGGTACCAAGAAGAAGTACGGATACATCCACACACTTGTCATCCAAGGTACTAGGTATTCGTAGGTAGTCTACCAATACTTCACCGCACTCAGCCTTGGGCCAAGTCTCAGCATCTCCAGGTGTCAGGACCCAAGCATCCAATGTCCAGTCACAATCCTCAAGTCAAGCCAGCCCACAGATCCCACTTGTCTTCAATGAAATGGAGTGTGCCAATACAGCTGCTTGCTTGCCTTGCCCCCCCCTTTCCATCTGCCTTTTCCTTGTTGCTTTCTGTCCCTGTTCAAGGACCCAGAAGGTCAGGTCCATTTAAGTCCACTATCCAAATGTCAGGTCCATGACAGTCCCTCCCAAATGGAACCCTCCCCCTCGGCTCGTGCCTTTGACCATTTTATCGCCTTTTCTTGCCTCAAACTGTGAATGCTCCATCCCATAAGGCGCTGTCTCCCGGTCTGGCCATCCCATTTGATCCTGTCCAGTCCCATCATCCCCTCCCCAATTCCCCTCAAGGCCATTTCCCCGTCGTCCTATCCTAAGACGTAAGGTGAAAGGTACACTTTGTGGTGTGGTACCTCTACTTTATCTCTTGCTCCTGCCCATTAACTAACCTGGCCTTACTTTCCTTACCTACCGTACCTTAGGTACCTGAGGAATCGCACAATATCTTTGGACCTTCCTCCCTCTGCTCACTTCCTCTCCTCCCGTCTTTCTTCCTTTCACATCTCATCCCAACTCACCCCTCCACTGCGGGACAAAGACGAGAATTGTTCCGGCGACACCGCATTGTCATCCAGCATATTTCACCGAGGAAAGATTCCGAAGAAAACAACAGACGCTGCTCTGCCTATCTTTATAATACAGCCTGCTATCCCCTCACCCATTCGCGTCGAGCGTTGTCACTGCTGCTGCTGTTGTCACTGCTTGGACGAGCCGTTCTTTTCGGTTGATCCCGCTACCCTGTCTGTTCCGCAACTGTCGCATCGCATCGCATTCCTTGCTTGCTTCCCCACCTTTGCCTCGATTGACTCGCCAAAGATACCCCTCGATTTCTCGACAAGCCCGACACGCCAATCCTCCAAGCTCGAAAAAACAACAGCTCCAACCCCAACACCAACTCGAAAACCTCCCCCAAACGAACAGCACACAAACCTCGCAAACATGGCTGATTTGCAAGGACGCAAGGTCTTCAAGGTCTTCAACCAGGACTTCATCGTCGACGAGCGATACACCGTAACCAAGGAGCTCGGTCAGGGAGCTTACGGCATTGTCTGGTGCGTGCGACCTTTAACCTGCTCTTCCCCTCATCCCATCGGCTGTCGCTGTCTGCGCTGCTGGCGCTGATGCTGATGCTGCTGCCACCACCGCTGCCCCGCCATTTGGCCAAGAAGCTGACGAATACTCCCCTCACACAGCGCCGCCGTGAACAACCAGACCCAGGAGGGCGTCGCCATCAAGAAGGTCACAAATGTGTTCAGCAAGAAGATCCTGGCCAAGCGCGCCTTGCGCGAAATCAAGCTGCTCCAGCACTTCAGGGGACACCGCAACGTGAGTCTTCCCCTATGCCCGCTTTCGAAGCTGTCCCAAGTACCCCGCGCAGCCTCATCGCCACGCGGCTGCACCACCGCCCACGCCAGAAAATGAAAGCTGACTTGCCCGCTTTGACAGATTACCTGCCTCTACGATATGGACATCCCCCGACCCGATAACTTCAACGAGACATATCTCTACGAGGGTACGCTTTCTATCGCGTGCATCCGCCGCCCCGGTCGAATCAGCTGTGCTAACTCTTTTGTTCTGCTACAGAGCTCATGGAATGCGATTTGGCAGCCATCATCCGATCCGGCCAGCCGCTGACCGACGCCCATTTCCAGTCCTTCATCTACCAGATCCTCTGTGGTCTCAAGTACATCCACTCCGCCAACGTCCTGCACCGTGATCTGAAGCCCGGTAACCTGCTCGTCAACGCCGATTGTGAGCTCAAGATTTGCGATTTCGGTCTGGCGCGTGGCTTCTCCGTCGATCCTGAGGAGAATGCTGGTTACATGACGGAATACGTTGCTACCAGATGGTACCGTGCTCCCGAGATCATGCTGAGCTTCCAAAGCTACACCAAAGCTAGTACGTATCCCAGAAGGCGTTGCATAACTGCATTTGAGTGAGATGCTAACCACGCGATAGTTGATGTTTGGTCCGTTGGCTGCATTTTGGCCGAGCTTCTCGGAGGCCGTCCCTTCTTCAAGGGTCGTGACTACGTCGACCAGCTGAACCAAATCCTGCACATTCTCGGAACCCCCAACGAAGAGACTTTGTCCCGCATCGGCTCGCCCCGCGCCCAGGAATACGTCCGCAACCTTCCTTTCATGCCTAAGAAAACCTTCCCCAGCCTGTTCCCTCAGGCCAACCCTGACGCCCTCGACCTCCTCGATCGCATGCTTGCCTTTGACCCCTCGAGCCGTATCAGCGTCGAGCAAGCTCTTGAGCACCCCTACCTGCACATCTGGCATGATGCTTCCGACGAGCCCGACTGCCCCACGACATTCAACTTCGACTTTGAGGTCGTTGAAGATGTTGGCGACATGCGTAAGATGATCCTGGATGAGGTCTACCGTTTCCGCCAGTTGGTTCGCACCGTCCCCGGAGCTACCCAGGCCGGCACGCAGGCTGCTGGACAGCAGGGTGGCGGCCAAGTGCCAATTCCCACCGGAGGCAACCAGGGATGGAGCTCTTCGGACCCTCGGCCTCAGGAGTACGGCGGCCAAGGAGGCGGCCTGGAGGCGGACCTTGCTGGCGGCCTCGATCACCGGAGATAAAGCCGTTGAAAGTTCTTCATGGATTGGTGCGCTGCGCGGAATCGCGCATGAACGACTAGCAAAATCGGTGTTTGGTTTGCAGACTCTGGCGGGCAATTTCAGAATTTTGTTTTGGATGTGATGTCTTTCCGCGATTTTACACGTCAGGTGGGGAGGAGGAGAGAGATCAGCGTTAGAAAACGGTGGTATTGATCTTGATGACGGCCGCTCTTCCATCTGGAGGAGAGGAGAGAAGGAAGAGAAAAGAGGAGGACAAAGTCGAAACACTGGGGGACTGGATCGCCCGAGGGGTTGAATGAACACGACAAAGATGACAGCAGCCCCCAAATTTACTTAATTCCCTATCATGCGATGTCGCGCTTGTAGTGCTATCGTCCCTTGGGCGGCTACTTGTCGGTTCTTAATCTCTGTTCGTGTGTGATGTGTCCGCAGGGACTGAACGCTTCTACTCATCTCGGTTATGTGGATCGGTGCACTGGTGGCCTAGATGGCGGCATACTCATGCAAGTTTCAGTTGAGAATATCAGGCGGGCTTTTCTCAGGTTCTGCTGATATGTCCTGGACTCTTGACAAGTTGACAGCATGCTATCGTCAAGCAAGTTTACGTCATGACCATGATAGGAAGCAATAACGCAGAGCGAGCGGGTCGGAGTCCAAATGGCTGTCACTGCACAATACGATTCGTAACCAGAGAGGTGTGAGATGTAAATGAGTAGTTTGTTTGCCCCCGACGAGACTATATACCGTCAAACGCCAAAGTAGATACAGTTGAAATAAAAAGTGAGAGTGACAGCATATGAAGCCCCAACATCTATCTGCGATGCTTTCCCTCCTCGAGTGGAGTAAGTCAATAGCCACATTATGTCTTAAGTGTACCCGAACCCGTGATCCGTCCGTGCTGGGGGTATATAATCCAAATATGATTTTGGTGAGTGAATGATGAAGAAGAAAAGTTTGTTCCGGGTTCTGTGAAGAGAATCCTCGGTATAAAACCGTTGAACGCCGTTGTAACCCCGATTTAGTTTTTTAAACGCCAGACTCATCCTGGAGAGTCATCCCAGTGAGAGATTCAAGGCTCTCTTTTCATGCCTTGGGACCGTAGAACCAGTAGTACGCCGCGTACGGAACGCTGTCGGTGGCACCGGGGGTGGTACACTGGTGCGCGACGCCGCCGGCCGTGACGACGCGGTAGACGGCAGTGACACCCTTGCTGCCGCCCTTGTCACCAAGCAAAAGCCAGTCAACGGAGCCAGTCTTCTCCGGGCCGACGTCAGCGGAGGCCGGGGCCTTTGTGCCGTTGAGCTTTGCGCCCCTGAACAAGTCCTCGCCGACCTGGAAGGTGGGCACGCCCGTGTTGTCGAAGAAGTGGACGCCGAGCTGCCTCATGGGCGCGATGCCGGGCATGACGAGGTCGGCTTTGGCCGGGAAGGGCGAGGTGGCGGAGGCGCCGAATTTGGAGGTGCCGTCGGAGGTGAGGGGGAGAGGGGTGGACCAGACTGCGTTTGTGGTGAGGCCGTTGAAGATGTCGACGGAGGCGAGGGATGCGGGACCGGTGGCGGGGTAGAGGGGTTGAGCGTCGTAGAGGCCTGCGAGGGCGCCGGTCGCCGTTGCGGTGATGGCGGTT